AGGTTGTCCGCTTAACGGAATGACTTAGACCACTGGAATATCTTCCTGAAAGACCTTCTCCGGGAAGGGAAAGAAATTAAGAATATTGGAAATAAAGAAATGAAAACAAAACAGTGTTGCTGTACTGCACGCAATGCAAAGTATCGTTTATTGGACAGTTAATCACGACAGACGTTTCGATCCGTAACTTATGGACTTTTTTTCAGGGTGAGATGGTTGGATTTCTTTCGCTTGAAAGGTTTTAAGCTCTGCAGCTACTACGAGCGACACTAAAACGGCAGGGGAGAAGTGCAATAACATCATCCTGAAGCCCGCGATTTATTTCCGTCGGAGCGCCGCTAATAGTTTTCCATAGAATAAACGAGTAATTTGTGTTGTGCATGATAGTCATGTTTTATGCTGTTTTAATATTCAATACTGTAGACCAAGCTATCTAGCTTTCAAGTGTAATTAAACTAGGCGGATTCGTTGCGTAAGCTCCAAACTGTGATGCGACGACGAACAGATGTCCAATAGAAAAAAACCGGATGAGGCGTGTAGTAAAAGCCTGAGAATGTTTAACTTTTATCTTCAAAAACTCGTTTCAGATTGTAATTGAATCAGAATTTGCCACTAGTTAAAACTTTGTAAGCAAATATTAAGTGCGACTGTTCATAAGATATTTTTCAATACACCGCATTGGTGGAAAGCTTCTGCAATTGTACAAAACAGTGTTTATGAGACTTCTTTTCCAAAATACGCAACTGTTCTACATGTGCCCACACCTTTTGTGCTCAAAACATGATTCTGCCAGAATGTTACCTGAGGGATTGTAATGGAGGTAAAACTATGCTTTATGCTGAATCCATTACTGGATTTATTTTTTTAGATTTTCTAATACCCTACACCTGCATCGATCATGTTAGCAGAGGCGGCTTTGCAAAAATTGCGAACACAAAGGAGGTTCATAACTTTTCTGGTGACTTCAGGGAAATAGTAACAGGCCTGACTGTCTCCCCTGTGGGTTGTTGGGCAGGTTTTTCGGTTGTGCCTTTCAGCCCACATTTGGCATATTGTAATACGGCGGTAAATCGTTCAGTCTGTTGCTGCTCTACCGGTACCAGAGGCAACTTCAGCTGAGACCTTCAAAACTACTTTAGTTTTTTTGGGGTCACAATAACCATGCAATGCAGTCAAAATTTCATAACACGTAAGAGGGCAAATAGCGCGATCTTTCGTCATGTTGTTTTGGATGTAGATCCAAATTCTAGGAGGGTGATTCTAAAATCCTTTTCTGATTCAGAGTATTCCTGGCTGAATTGTAAGATTTGAATCGTAAGAAACCCGTTAATTCACATTGTCACTGTCTTATTGTTCGACAGTTGTCTGTTTATATGTTAGCTTTCACGGATACTGTTGACCATTGTCTGCTCTTCAGGACGTAAACCAAAGATCTATTAACATGAAAGTATGCATATTAAGTTAGTGTCATGCAAAATAAACAGGCGAAATGCATTGTCTTATATTATCAAAATTATTAAGATTGCTCGGGATGGATTCATCGATGTTGCCACACGCCGAGCACAATCATGCCAGGCCATTCTGCCATTGGCGGTTTGTATTCAGTTCTCTTCCGCCGTTTCTTCTATGACCTCATCGGAGGTCGCCCGAGTGGTCGTTTACTTTCCCTCGGGTAACATTCTGCAACACGTGAGGTCCATCGGTTATCATCAAGAGGCGCGACGTGGCCTGCTCAACGAATCTTGCTCTCTCTCATGGCTCGCACGATATCTTGCACGCCACTCATATTACGGAGAATTTTGTTGCCAATGTCACGAAGGGATATTCTAGACATCCTTCATTCCATTGCTGTTCCGTCACAGCCAGTACATTTTCTTTTGCCTTCGTCGGCGCCCATGCTTCGCAACCGTACGTCAATGCCTTCAGCACTACGCTGTTGAAGAGGCAAAGGCTGTCTTTCTGGTCTGATACTTGGAGGACATCGATGATGCTCTAGAATTTGCGCCATCCGGCAGCCCTTAGACGTATAATCTCCGGTAGGAGATTATGGCGCATATTCAGTTCTTGGCCCAAGTAGACCTAATTGTTGACTTCTTCCAAACCTGCACTGTCTACCTGTAAATTGGCCTTGGGCACGCCAACACTCTGCATCACCTTCGTTTTCGTTTGTTGATTTTAAGACCCACTTTTTTACTTCTTTCGTTGAGTTCTTGCAGCATCTCCTTCATTTCTCGAGCATCTTTTGCGATGAGTATTGTCGTCTGCGAAGCGTAGATGATTCAGCTGTTTGTCGTTGACGTTCAGACCGCCCTTCCAGTTCAATTTGCCGAACACCGTCTCGAGGCAGGCATTAAAGAGTTTGGGTGATAAAGGATCGCCATGTTTCACGACCTTCTCAATCAGTATACGAATTGGGTTTGAAAGTTTTATATCAGTCGAGCATCCTGTATTCGACGTAGTTCTCATCGATTCCATCTTCCAAAAGAACTTTCAAGACAGTGTTGAGTTCCACGCTGTCGAACGCTTCTTGTAATCGACGAAAAGGAGACATAGGGGTAATTTATTCTCCCTAGCGCGCACTAGCAGTTGGTTTAGAGAGAAGAGGTTGTCGGTGCTATATTTGCTTCTAAATCCTGCTTGTTCTCTCGGCTGCTGCTCATCGGTGACCCTGTGAGGCGGTTGGTAATGATTCTCGTGAACAGCTTGTATGCGTGGAGAGCAAACAGATCGGGCGGTAGTTCTTCAGGTCTTCTTTATCACTCTTTTCATGGAGCAAAACGGTCCTCCACCCCCCCCCTCAGCAGCTAGGAATGGTCTTCTGAGTCAGGTATCGACTGAATCTAATGGTGTCTTCGAGAATGCGCCTCGTCTAGTTATCCTTCTAGTTTCTGACATGAATTAACGGTAAAGGATCTTGCCGGTAAATTATGTACACTGTAGAAATTCATGAAAAGTCGTTGGAAATTGGCAAGATACATCTCATCTCAACCATATGATGTGAGATGCTCCGACGCCTTGCAGGCAATATACTATCATGGAACCATACCCTGCCTAAATTACTCTTTAGGCATTGGACAGCAGATGAGTGTCATAACGCCACGATATCTAACTTGGTAGAGTTATGCGGTCAAATAGCCAGTAGCAAAGTGAACGTTAAGTAGTGTTTGAGATACTCTTGCTCACTGTTCATCCAAATGCTTTCACTTTCAAGTGCGATTAAGCAAGTTCAAGATGCATATTTAAATCTCCTTTCCGTACGTTATTAAACAAGTTTATTTCAGTCGAGTAAATGGTAATCTTTCAAGATTTGTTCGCCTTGAAATGTTGTATGGTTGCACAATTATTCTGTTTGTTCCTCCGTAAGGGGCCACAGCTATAGCTCACAACTGTAAGAGAACTATGTGTGTAGAAGATATCCTGTTTTGCCATGTTTATTCAAGCTGCGCATGCTCTATCGATCTTCTGTGGTGGCTGTGCTATTGTAAGAATGGCCGGCGCCGGCGTATGGACGCTTTGGTGATATTCAATGGACTGAGTCTGTCCTAGAATAATTTTATGTCTCCATCTCAGTAGACGAAGCCGAAGCTTCCAATCAAGTCTGATCATTCTATTGTATAAAACATTAAGTTGCACAAGCTAAAATTAGGTCCATTTTTTGCCCACTCACGAAAGTAATTCTGACGAAAAAATTATGTTTCAACTATTACTGAACGTACTTTTAGAATCGATCGATGCGCGGATAAGAGCAAGGAAAAAACGCTTGCAAAAATCTAAAGCCTTTCTCAGACAGGCGAAGGAGAAGTTTAATTTCGAGAAGGACTTTGTTCGATCAGAAGTTTGTCCTGAAACACCGAGCGGCAACAGCGTTAGCAAGAAGCCGCTGCGGAGTACAGAGAAGCGCATAGACGGATGTGCCAAAGTCAATAAGGACGAAAAGAGCAGTCCCGTGTATCGCAGAGCAATCCGCAAACCGAACGATTCGGCGGATTACGGCTACAGCGAATCGAAGGAATATCTCATGTATGTTTCTTATCCCCCTCCAAACCTGCACCACCACTCAGGACTTGAGAAACATCAGGATCGGCTTTCTCCTGTGCCAGTCAGCCAAAGAACCGACTTCGATTGCAGCAGCTACGTGAAGAAGACGTCCCCCGATGGATCAAGATCGGTGTTCGCCAATAAACGTTACTCATTTGCGCCAGAAAACGTAAGCCGCGTTTCTAAAGACGCTCAAGGAAAAGATACTCCGATTTCAGAAGCTGGCTCTCGCAAACTCTTCGAAGCGTTTGCTGCTTTGGAAACTAGCGTCAGCTTGCCTACGAATATTTCGCCTCATCCGAAACGACAGTATGAGAGGAAGCAGTGCGATGTCGGTTCGCATTTCACTGGTGAACGTCCGTCCACCGCGGTCGACGCTCATTCATCACAACAGATCACAGGCGACACGGTAACGCCAAAGGAAGCAGATGGCAGTGAGGCGCGTGATTTTTTGGAGGCAAAGAAATGTCTCACTAAAAAGCTGTCCAGTTTAATGGAAGCTAACGCTGCGGGGGACGCTGTTGGTGCTTTCAAAAGCGTGAAGGGCTCCTCAAGTGACGGAAGGTACGCGAACGCATCGAAAGCAGTCGACCTAAAGGCGTCCAACATAAACAAGAATATTGACAGCGCGTTCGTTCATCCGGTGCGATTTCCCGACCGCCAAAGCCTCCTTATGCATCAACGCACTTCCGCCCATTACGGTGAGAAGGCTGGTCGACGAAACCCGGTTTCGGGAGCAAGAAACTCAAACGACGGTTTGCAGTACAATTCATCTGACACGGCCGCTATGTTCTACAGAAGACAGTCACCGGATAAAACTGAAATGCCTCTGTTGCACATGTTGCCATCGATCGATAAAGAGGTACAGCAGCTACTTAATCTGGGCGAAGAGCTGGCCAGCTGTCAGCAAGTGAACGGCGAATGGAGGAAGCCGGCTATCACCGAACGGAAAAGAACAACGACACACGACAGTTGTCAAACATTTTCCTCACCTCGCGCGGATGGTCACTGTCCGCACGCTATCACGCAAAACAACGACCAAGCCTCTGTCAAATACGAGGTGAGGAGCAATGTTTCGAGGCAGCTAAGAAATGAAGCGGTCGATGAGAAATGCGCGATCAGCAGAGGCGATTCGAATCACGCCGTCCGATCGGCTCTGCGAGGAAAGGCGTTGGAGGAGGCGTCGAAAAAGATCGACGAACTGCTGAACATGGCTAAGCTGAAGCAGGGCGGCAGTTCTTATGCAGTGGGAGTTGTCGACAAGGTGGCTGAGGTCGAACGAAAGTTCGGCACGTGGAACAGCGTTCGAACTCGACAGCCACAGCCAGTGCAGGACGAAAGCGCGACCCAGCTGAGCAGCGTGACACTGTCCAAGGACCTGAAGCTAAACGGTGTGCTGTTCCGACGGCCGTCCAAGCAACGCTCTGACGAGTACATGCGCCGCAGCTTCTACCAACCACCGAAGGACTTAGCTTCGGTGTTGTCCATTAGGCGTTCTGGCTCTAGCCAAGAAAACGTCACCGATTCGCTGGCTGACAAACAGCCGATCACCAAACGCAGGTCTTACATTAAGGAGAAGATGGACTACACGAAGAAGTGGCTCGAAAACGAGTTCGATCTGAAGTCGTTCAAGTCGTCCGCCGCTACAACCACCAAGCCGGATCTGCTACAATTTGAAAACGACTTAGTTTATGATTCGGATGAACGATCGCTGGGCAGTGCGTCAGCGGAAGTTGCCGCCATCACCAAGCGAAAACATTTCGTTGCTTCTTTACCGATCCCTGACATCGTGCCTTATTCGTATAAAATTAGTGCTAAAACCGGAACCGGTAACAGCAAGTATGACGAGTTTGTCGAGCGAGAAAAGACGCAAACTGAAAACATGACGGTTGATGCAGTTTACCAAAAATGCCAACCTTCTCCTCTATGGTCAACGAACAAAAAAACTGTTGGCAAAGTCGTCAGCCCCGGCAAGTTGCAACTGCAACCACCGTTGTTTATATCTCCTTCGATGGACAGAACTTACACGCTTCCGATTAGGGATCTCGGAGTCGTGAAACGTAGGGTGGAAGCGTTCGATCGGATGAGCAGTGACGACTCCGTCTCAGGGATGTCAAGCAGCGACAATGTCGCATACAGTAGCAAGGTGCGGAACGCCAGAAACAGACTTTCGCTGTCAACCTCTATGCTAAGTTTTATCAGAAAGTTTGAGGAGCGAAGCGGCACGTTTCCGATGCAATCGAAGTGGCGAAACGACAGACACACCTCAGAGATTAACTCGCACCGAGGCGACGAAACTTCATTGCGGCGGCGATCAACCGAGAGTCTTCCGATCATGACCAAAGCCGCTCGTTCCTGTAAGTCATCCAGTTCCAGTCAGCAAACTCTTGAGCACCTGCCATTAAACAGTGACAACGACGGCTTCGTTCTGGCCGCACCATGGGCGAAGGATTTTTCTACCGAATCAACTGACTTGCGACTGGCCGGTAGTAACTCATCCAACGTCAGTGTGAACAAGAGTAGAACGACGAGCGGCGTTTCGGTTGCCCCCACTTTGCTGGACGTCGACAATTTGGTCGCCGAACTGCAGCTGAACACCGAACAAGTCGATGATCTGCAGGATCAGCAGTTTCCTCTCGAACCGTTGTCGACAGTTGAACAGGACAGGAACGGCGGTCGTTTAAATAGCTCTCAGCGTCGTCGCGTGTACCGAGTCGTCAAAACCGACAGCAAGGACAAATATGACAACAGAACGTCGGACAGCGATTTTGACGCTACCAGACAGTCGGTCAGAAGTGATGCCAATGGTCCGGCTAAAATTGCTGCATCTGCTTACAGCCGTTTCTCGGTCATCCAAGGAAACGACGTTAAACAAGCTACGCCAGCTTCGGCTTCATCCAAATTCATAGCGCATAGCGAACAACAGAGTTCGCATTGTAAAGGTAAATAACTGGCATGTCTGCTTTGTCCATGATTCTTGTAAGCGGTGTTAGGTACACAAGGCTGCTGTGTCGCCAGAAGCGAAGCGATCAGCTCCAACCGCATCGTCCCCCGCGAGACTTCGTCGCAGCTGCTGTCGGCGCGAATGCTGATCAATGTTCCGTGTAGCAAAGAGCACCAAGCAAAATCTGCGCAAAGACCATACTTGGAAACGGTCGCTTTGCAACCGACTGTTGAAAAGCACATCCTCGCCGACCCTCGCAAATCGGAAGGGGGTGCTATCGCTGCCTCTACCAGGGCGACCACGAATCGCTCGTGTTCGGAAAAGGACGAAAACCCGATCGTGGAGAAAAGCTCAATTCGCAACATATTCCAGAGACTAATTGGAAGCAGTCGATACCAATATCCGACGAAAAGCATACGCGACGTTTCTGACATCAACTCCAATCCGGTGATGAAAGTGTTTCGCAACCCTGACGCGCTCGTCGACAGTCATAGTGACAATAAGAAACAACCAAATAAACCGTTTAGCACTGTCGACATGGGTCCAGTTGAAACCGGATTTACGAAATTGGAGAAACTGTCTACAAACATGAAGAAGCCTAAACCTGAAAAGTTTCAAGAAGGTAAAATTTGCGTATGCTTTGTGTTCAATATGTCGCATTGACCGAATGACAGCTTTGTGAGATTAATCCATAGGTTCAAAGGTGATTAGCATCCTTATGCTTTTTAGCACTGTCCTCTCTTCTGCCTATTTATTGCTTTGACAAGTTAGCTCGATGTTCAGTTTCTCCGTTTCAGCCACACTGATCTTTTCATTTCTGTCGCCAGCTAGCTGTTCTCTTCTTTGAATTTTGCATACATCTAATTTCAAGGGAAGTTTACTTTCAATATCGAACACCCTCTTCAGATTAAGTTCATCAGCGCTGAGTATATTTTACATCTTTTCCTGTCCTTACTTCTAAGGTGGCAGAAATTCTGAACAACGTAGCATATTCTTCAGTGTCTGTGATCCGCGTTTCTTTGATGGGCATGAGCTTTATCCCAAATAACACAGACTTCGGTTACGATGATGTTTCATTGCTTCTTCAGTATCTGACCAATCTACGTTCGTTTGATGATACCCAGCTTCAGCTGCTTCATCTTCTTCTCCATTAGGAATCATTGTATCAGAATAATTTAAAAAGCCGGTAAGAGTTCTAGTCACAAAAGACTCTGAGCTAGAACTCGAACGGAGAAGGCGAAGTTTTAATTCAACTGATTCAACTACTTTGTCACATTTTCACATGTTGCCTACGAGACATTGGACGTACGTCATGTTGGCTCCTTTGCACGTCTAAGTGTTTAGCTGAGAATCGTACTAAAATAAAACAGTAACCTATTTAATCAATAAGCTCGTTGCCAACCAAAGTTTTGTTCATATCCTATACCGCGTTTTTGATCTATTCAGACCATATGTTTACTTCACATGTCCGAACAACTGCATCCCCTTGGTGAGTACAATTCCCTTGCAACCAAACTGTTTAAGGACCATGTAAAAGTTTTCCCGCGAAAGTGCATAAAAACTTTTTAGAGCCCAAATCTGCCCGCAAAGATAGTGGTATTAATGCGAAAAAATGAAAAAATGGCACGATTTCATACAATTATCTATTACATGCATCTCTTTCACATTGCAATATTGACATAGTTCTTTGAATGATTCATGGTTCGGGGCACCAAAAGCAGCTGATGGTAAACTGATTATTGGCAACGCGCTTCACTGAACTGACCGCAGCATCATCACGGCTGGACTGAGTACAAATTATCCCTTGAAGGCATTTACATCCAGCAAGCGAACAATGCCAATTTTTCATTTGCCTCATCAGAAACAGTCAAGACGTTGTTATACTGTTTGAACAAAGTATAACGTCCACATCAAAATAAATCGGACCCTTGTCCTTTTGACCTGATTGGGTTGCGTATCAATCTTTTGATTGCTAATTTTCAGCTTTCACTGATAATAGCAAAAGACGTTTATTCGTTTATTCGTTGCACATCCGGCTTTTCATTGCCAGTATATGCAAAGACTCTTTTGCCACAAGACCTCATTTAGATTCGTCTTTGTCTGTGGCAGACACATTGGTCTGACTGAAAGAATTCCCTTCAATAATCGCATCCTGGTCAATATCGGAACTGTCAACCTGTCCAAGGCGGATCGCAGAAAGGTGCTCTTGCCCTTTTACTCTGATGTTTGATTTTCGGTTGGTCGTTCCAGTGTACACCTTGCCGCAGTCTCTGCACTGAGCTTCGTAGACAATATTTAATACTTCTTCAGGGTTATTAATAGTCATCTACCTTTTAAATAATAAAATGTCGCCAAATGCACTCCTCCGTTGCCAGTCCAAAGCCCGTTTTCAAAAGGAGGAGGGCTGGAGACCGTGGCGAAGTCTCCATAAAATTTCGCCACCTGTACATCATGGTATTAACGTCGTCGAAAATTATACCGGCTCGGTGGTCGCCTGGGATGCCAAGGGCCGTGCAGGCTATTGGGTGACTGAGGCGCACTACG